TGTGTGTGTGTGTGTGTGTGTGTGTGTGTGTGTGTGTGTGTGTGTGTGCTGACATTCTCCAGGGCTGCTTTCTGAAAGCTTGAAGAGGAATGCAAAAGAGAGTTTCATCATCCTCTCAGAAACATCAGCACATAGCCGATGGAGGGGAGCTACCAGCTAACTTCCTGGAACTCTCACATTAGGGGCGGCTGTGGCTGAGTGGTTAGAGGTGGGGGKTCAATTCCCCTCACTTACCAGTCACATGTGGGAGTGTCCCTGAGCAAGACACTGAACCACCGCTGCCTCTGATGTGTGTCCTATCAGTGCATGAATGTGATTTAAAGAACTGATGATTTATCTTGAAGTGATAGAAAAATGAGGGCACATGTTGTAGTGTAATGTGTTTCAAGAATCCTGGTTGGATAGAAAGGTGCTATATAAGTACAGTTTATTTACCATTTTATTTAGTATTAGAGAAAATAAAGAAACAAATAATTCCAATAAAAACAAGCTAGAACTTTACACCAACCATTGCCATTCAGTGCAGACCAACTATTAGCAGGTTTGTTGGAATCATCACAGGCCGTCACTATTTAAATAATCTCATAAAGTGAACAGACGGATATATGGGGGTCTAAAGTGATCTTGTCAAACTACTACACAARTGTGCTGAGCAGGTCTCCCTTATGATGCACACAAAATTTGGTTCAGATCAGGTCTTGTATGTGTGATTTAGAGCCAACCATATGTCAACAGCATGATGTCTAATTAGGCCACGCCYCCCAAAATTGGACAGCATTCCAATAATAGGGTGGATTAGAATCAACCATAGTGAATTACATGCTGTGGAATTTAGAGCCAAGCATATATCAACGGTGTGATGTTTAATTAAGCCACCCCCTCCCATCAGACTGTACTACATTCCTGTAGTGGGGTGGATTAGGATCGACCGTAGTGTACCCATTGGCTGAAATATGTGGAAGTTAGAGCCAAACATATGCCAGTGGTGTGATGTCTGACTTTGCCGCACCGCCATGACCACGCCTTTCACCACAAAGTCTTTGTGCKTGAAAGCAAGTGAGATGAAGTTACAATTTGTATTCTGACATGATTCGTTGCTGATTAGGTCAAGAAGGGAGCATTCCAAAGCAAAAAAAGGTCACTTCCTGTTGTCAGGGGCTGGAGCTTTGATTATGTCATATGACCACATGGTCTGGTCAGGCATGCAACATGGATGACAAGTTTGGTGTATTTTAGCCTTTTTATATGAAAGTTACGGCTGTCTGAAATTGTATCAGATGGACGGAGAGCATTTCTTAGTCCCCTGCCTCGGAGACAGCAGACAATAAAGCCAAATGAAAATATAGTTTGCTATCATCCACAATCAAAGGTAGTTTGACTTTCAGTGTAAAGCTTTGAATGAATGGATTCACATTCCTGTAGCTAACTCACCATCTGCTACATTGAATCGAGAGTTGTGTGTGGGGGTTTTCTATGAGAGAGGCTGCTCACACTGTATTTTCAACAGAAATGTGTGTGGATGTTAAGTGCTGAATTTGCAGAAGAGGCGGAAACAGAGTTACTTGGAAGTAGCTGAATACTAGCTATTTTAAAAGAAGCAATAGACTAGCTAAAATTTCAAAAGATTTGCAAAAAACTAACTAAAATAATACTTAAACTCATTGTACCAAAAGGCCATCTAAAAGCTAAAAGCAGCAATTTGTTAACCAAAAGTAGCACAAAGCTAAAACAGCAAAAAGTAGATAAGAATGTCAAAAGGCAATAAAGAAAGTAAAACACTAGGTAAAAGCAAACTTAGCAATACAATAGCTAAATGCTAAAGTTAACAAAACAGCTAACAGCTGAAAATATCAAAAGGTCAGATAAAAGCTAAAAACAACAAAACCAGTGACAATCTTAGCTTTATTTTGGGGTACACACACCCCAAAATTTAACTCAGCACTCCCTGAAAGTACATTGTAACTAGCTGAATTTTAGAAATCTGAAATTCCTGTTGATATTTCCTTGTATCATCCATTCTTGATTTACTTGCAGATATAAAATTCGATTTTCTTWTCATATTTATTTCCCATGTTTTTGTTTTGAAGCCCTAGCTTATGGCCTCTCATGAGTTAAATATGATGTTCCTCATTACACAAAGATGTATTGATTTAAGTATGAATGTTAAATAATCACCACTTGTTTATTTTTTAAAAAAAATAAGCACATTTGTGTTTTTATTTTTTTATTTTTATTTTTTAAGTTTGAGCCTTTGTAGGTGACGTGGCAGATAAACCCACAGACATGCATAAAATGTCTATGGATAAACTATTGCGCTGTCGCCACCTGCTGGGCAAAATGAAAATTGCATCAATTTTTCTCCGTCTTGCTTGATKACGTCAATAAAACGCGACGACAACTATTATTCAACACATACAGGACGACGTGCAAAAAGTCTGTTTTTAATGCTTCTGTGTCGTTTTTCAACATGTCTTTTTTGCGATTATATGCCTCTGCCAGCAGGCAGGTAGTTTCCAGACCCGCAGCTGTGGACTCGCTCTTTACCGGTTCGTGTTTTGTTTATTTCAATTCAAACTAATCTAAATGCGAGAGGAGGTCTTCTGTTGTTGTCCTTCAACTGTGTATTTATTTAGCTGCCTTTCACGGGTCCATATCACATATAACAAATAAAAAATAAAGTACACTACAGTCAAATAAAACATAAAAGCATTTAAACATAGCATTTCAGTAACAAATGCAGCTGTTTTAATATTACAGTATTTCTGGAAGATTGAAGACATGCAGTGTAATTACGCCACGAGCTGCACAGAAATAAAATAAGCTCTAAAAAGATTAATAGAACATCTGTGCAGATGTCAAATACCCACATGTTAGATTTCATGAACATCATCATCACACAGATCATAAAAGTAGGCCATTAYATTTCTGCCCATGTCTTTGCGTGTCTGTTAGCAAAATATGTCATGAACCACTGGATGATTTTTTTTATGAACATTGCGGACAGTAATCACTGGATGTGCCTCGACAGCTGATTAACTTTCAGAGTCAAACCGATTGAAGATGGCCGCCTCAGCCAACTGACTACGAAAAACAGAAAAATGTTTGTAACCCAGTCTGATTTACGGTTACTGGCCTAAAGTTTAGTGTGGTAGTAGCTGAGTCTTATTCACAACACATATTTCAGTGTCCGCACATTAATTTTTTTCACATTGTGCCACTAACTACTTGCAGACAAATCCTTTCTGTTAGCAAAATATTTTAAGAACCACATCACAGACTGTAATGAAACTTTTGGTAAATAATCAGATGYATGTCTACAGCTAATTACCTTTTGGAGCCAACCTGATTCAAGATGGCCGCCATAGCCAACTGACCTCAAAAATAACAAAAATACAGTCAGTTTCACAGATGCTGYGGTGAAATTTGGCRTGGTAGTAACTGAGAGTCTTTAATGCTTTGATGTTGGATGTTAATGAGGAGATGCAGCAGGTTAATGTGTCCCAAGAGGTTTGTTTTAGACTGACCTGACTGAAAACTTGTTCCTTTGTGGATCCTGTGCAGGGTGTTTGCGGAGAACCAGCGGAACCGTGAAGGACAGAGAGCCACTGAAGAAGGCCAAAACCCCACAGGGGCGCTTTGACATCCCCGAAGAGAAGAGCAAAGATGTTCTAGAAAGTGAGAAAGAAGGAGATCCTTCACTCTGATCGTAAAACCTCTTAAGATCCTGAGCATCTATTTATTTAGATAGTCATATTATAATACAATTTCAGATTTTAAATTAATCCAAAGCAACAAAATTGTATGAAAAAAAATTCATTTGGTTGAGTTTTTTTTCTGTAAATTAAATAAAGAAGAGCCACTATTTGAATAAATCATGTTTTCTTGTTTTCCTTCAGAGTTCCCAGATGATGTGAACCCAACGACGAAGGAAAAAGGTGGTCCTCGAGGTCCAGAGCCCACTCGTTATGGAGACTGGGAGAGGAAGGGCCGCTGTGTGGACTTTTAGTTCAGTTTAATATTTTTCCTCCTGGATTATGAAAAATGATGTTGAATCTGTGGCACTGTGAACACACTGGTTTGTTTTTTTCAGCAGGTTGTTTCAGCTCAGTGAAAGAGACAAAAAGACACAAACAGGATGAACACTGACAGCTGAGATTCACATTCTGAACAAAGTAAACTTCATGTTTGGGTGATTCCACTCATTTCACCCTGATGTTGGTGACTTATGGCTCAATGATTCAATCAGGTCGCCCTCTCCACCGACGGTGTAAAACAGGTGTGTCCAAAGTGCGGCCTGCTGGCCGTTTGCAGCCCTTGAAGTGATTTTGTGCGGCCTGCGACTGCTATAAGAATGACGTAAATCTGGTCTGTGGGCTTTAATTTTAAGGAATTAAAGCAAATAGATGGACACCTTTTGAAAGTTTTAAAAGTAACGTTTTAAAATGTTAAATTTAACCAGAAAAAAATTAGTTGATTTCAACAAACTTTTCACTTTGTCACTGCTTCTGACACAATGTGATGTTTATTTTATTTGTATTATTATAAATTAGAAGGTTTCTATGCAGTCATTGTTCAGAAGTATGAAATATGGATGTAGTAATTTTCATGTTTGGATAAATATRTATGAATGTTGGGGTTAGAAACTGTTGAAATCAGAGGGGTATTTACTGTATTTTTTACACTGAATGCATTTAGTCCTTCTACATCTGATATTACTGACTTCTGGAAATTAAACTAAGAAAAACATTTAATTCTTTGTTCTATGCTTTTTGTGATGTTGAACATTCAATGTCTAACTTTAGTAGAAAAGTGCGCACAGGCTCGTGTCAAGACAATAAAATTAAAAATTTTCAGTTTTTATTATAGAAATTTTGATAGTCTGGTCAAAAATACTTTGGTTTAGGAAAAAAACAAATATACAATATTTGCTCAAAATATTTGAATATAAGTACTGAAGGAAAAGCAATCATTTCCTGCATTTGTAAATTGTATTTTCCCTAAATGCATTTTAAACTCAGGGAAAAAATGATATGATATATTTTTCACATACATATCATAAAACTTCATAAATATGCAAACACCGTAAACTGAGTCTATTGTGGAGTTGTGGCTTTATGTTTTTTTGTAAAGATTTTTTACATTATTTGATAATTATTATTTAAAATACTATTGTTTCATTGAATTATTGTCCACAATAAAAC